AGAGAGGTATCGGCTGCTAGCAGGGCAGCTAGTTGTCGGCTCTGCTGGCGGAGCAGAGAGGTATCGGCTGCTGGCAGGGCAGCTAGTTGTCGGCTCTGCTGGCGGAGCAGAGAGGTATTAGCTGCTAGCAGGGCAGCTGGTTGTCGGCTCTGCTGGCGGAGCAGAGAATTATCGGCTCTGCAGGCAGTGCAGAGAGTTGTCGGCTCTGTAGGCGGTGCAGAGAATTATCGGCTCTGCAGGCAGTGCAGAGAGTTGTCGGCTCTGCAGGCGGTGCAGAGAATTGTCGGCTTTCGAAACAAGGGGGGTATCGGCTGCTGGCGGGGCAGCGGGTTGTCGGCTCTGCTAGCGGCGTAGAGAGATTGTTGGATCTGCTGGCAGAGCAGAGAATTGTCGATTTTTCGTAATTCGTAAAAGGGGGGGGGTTTCCGTACGTAGGAGTTCTGTAGAAGTCCTCCCGTACACAGAGCTCTCGATAGCTCTCTTTGGCTTGGTGCTGGTATCTTTCTGCCGCCAACTAGATCCGCTAGTAGTCTTATGCAGCGCTAAGGGGTGAGCGATTAATTAGTACGTTAATAGATCCTTAGGGTAAGCGACTAGGCTCTCGTAGCTCTAATTCTTAGTATTAGCTGTTAGTAAACGCTTCTTAATAAGGCTACTTAGTTTAGCTAGATATTGTGCCGCCGTCTCTAGCTAAATAAATGTTAACCTTTAGATAATATAAGGGCTAGGTTCGCGGTCTCTACTGCTATAAGCGCCTCTAGAACACCTAGCTAGGTAAGTTGGCTGTAGGCAGCACTGTCTCCACGAGCTATAAGAATAAGAGGTGCTAGCAGAATAGGTTAAGTTAAATTTAGCTATCTAAAGGTAAGAAGTAGAAGAATACTCTAAGAGCTCTCTATATACACAGGGTGCCTATGCCAAGGCGCTAGGCAGGGTTATGTAACTTGGGCGGAGCTAAGTTAGGCCGAAGCACCGAGTCGAAGCCGAGTTAGACTATTACATAGAGCAACACTATTAATACTAATTACTTTAATTAAGATTATATAATTGCGGTTAGTATTACTTACGCTACTTTACTACTACTTCTAGTTAAATATAATAATCTACTATAAGCCTTTATAGCTAATTTAAAAGCTAGTTTTATCTATATTATAGTAATCTAAGTTCTAAATTCTAAACTCTACTATAACCTTTTATAGCGCGTAAAAATAGGCGCTATATACTTGCTTAGAGTTCTAAGCTACTTAATTAATTTTCTAATATTTCTACTTAACGCGGTAATAATCTAGATTACGTTTAAGCTACTAGGTAACAAAGTGCGCGCTAAGTTTTAGAGCTCTACTAGATAGATTAGCAAGGTTAAGAATGCGTTAGATAGCTAATTATAGCTATAAAAATAAGATAGGTATATCTAAATTATTATAGCGCTTAATATACTATCTAAGCGCAAGCTTCTACTTAGTGTTAAGCCTTTAGTTTATACTAGGGCGGTCTATTTTACTCTATTAGCTCTTACTAGGTTTCTCTACCTAGCGCACGTCTCTACCTAGCG